GATGGTTAACCTGTTCCTTGAAGGTGTGCACTCTCTTTGGGGTTTTCCTAGGGTTAGCGGTGAGGTGTTCTGAGTTAGAAAGGCTGGCATCATTCTTCCTACCTGGGTAATCTTGGGCTCAAAACTCACCTTCTTCTGGGCTTCAGTTTTCTCCCCTGTAAAATGGGGTTGAAAATCATTCCTCCCTCATTGTGAAGATTCGGTGAGTTTACCCATGTAAAGAGTTTGAAACAGCACCTGGCACAGGACAAGCGCTCAGTGGGAGCTGGCTATCATTATTTCATCTCCACCCTCCACTCCCTCCTCATCTTGCCACCGCCTCCCAATTCATCACTGTAGGCCCTATAGCGTGAACCTCCCCATCAGGCTGCTTTTCCAGCATCATGTCCTCTGGTCCAGTCAACAGGCAGCAAAGAAACATGCAAATTACCTGGTTCCGGGGCCAGCATGCAGGGGTTCAACACCTGGCCTTGTGGGACCTTGGATAAGTGACCTCCCCGCTCTATGCCTCATTCTCCTCTTCTGTACAATGAAGATAATAGTAGTGCCTCCATTTAAAAAGTCGTTGTAGGCCCTGGCTAGTGTAGCTCAGTGGATTGAGCATGGGCCTACGAACCAGAGGATTGCGGTTTGATTCCCAGCCAGGGTACATGCCTGGGTTGCAGGCCAGTTCCCAGCAGGGGACACATGAGAGGCAACCATACATTGATATTTCTCTCCCTCTCTCCTTCCCTTCCCCTCTAAAAATAAATAAATAAAATCTTTTTTTAAAAAGTCGCTGTAGGATTAAATGAATGAATGCATATAAGCCACTTAGAATGGTTGCTGGTATACAAAGAGCTAACTAAATGCTGGTAATTTATATATAACTAATATGTAACAGCCGCCTCACTGGGTTCTGGCTTCCACTCCGCCTCCCTGCAATTCATTTCCCATGCAGCAACCACCAAACAAAGCAAGTGTAACAAAAAGGTACTTATGGGTTATGATGTCTGGCATATCACTTTAAAATTATTTGGGGGCTGGGCAAGAATAAAACAACACTGGCTATGACTGGATAACTGTTGACCTTGGCCAATTCTGTTATTAAGGCAGAGAACAGTTCTTTATTCTCTCAAATTCTCTGAATCTTTGAAAGAAAGTATAACATTGGGAAAGGAAAAAAATAAGATACACAGCTGACCTGTGAGCAACGTGGATTTGAATTGCGGAGTCCACTTACACGTGGATTTTTAAAAATTGACTCTCAGTTCAAACTCACATTGTTTAAGACCATGGGGGAAATTTGAACACTGTAGGCTATGTGGTAACATAGAAATGACTCTGAATTTTGGAAGGTGTGATAACTATACTGAGGCAGAAGACAGCATAGGAAGAACTCTGAGACTGTGCTGCTGTTACATCCTGTGTCTAGCATCTGGTTGCCAGGAAACGCCTCTTAGCACTTAAGGTAGAACGAACAGCAAACCGAGGAAGGGAGGAGGAGGGAGACATGTCTCACCCACTAACTCAGCAGTCCTGAGCCTGATCCGATAATACTGCCAGGTGTTCCAGCATCACAAGAAACACTATGTCAGTTTTTGAAACTGTCAAAGTCATTGAAATTCTATGTAGCGTTTCCATTATCTGGGGGAAAAAGCCTTGAAACTGTGCTTTCATCACAAGGCCTGAAAGGCAGGAGGGTCCCCAGTACCCAAAGAAGCCCATGAAGCAACTGTGGTTAATTGCCTACCTCTGGACACTATTTATTTTAGGATGGAGTCCCTAATGCTTACAGAAAGAGCCCATAAATAACTTTGGGTAACCGCACCAACTTTAATTAACTGCCTCCCGTCATGTATCTGTTTTACAGCAAGATGAACAAATGGAGTCTGGAACAAGATAAGGACCCTGGCTGGTGTAGCTCAGTGGATTGAGCACGGGCCTGCAAACCAGATGATCGCGGTTTGATTCCCAGTCAGGGCACATGCCTGGGTTGCAGGCCAGTTCCCAGCAGGGGACCCATGAGAGGCAACCATACATTGATATTTCTCTCCCTCTCTCCTTCCCTTCCCCTCTAAAAATAAATGAATTAAATCTTAAAAAAAAAAAAAAAAAAGATAAGGATTCGGGTTACCAGACCCCCACACACCTAAGTTTGGGTAGTCACATCCTCCTCCTGCCCTCCTCCCGGGGAAAGCTGGCATCACCTTTACCTGTCAATAAATATGTGACTTCTTCACCCCATTCCACCACACCAACCATGTAGGTCCTCAGAACAAAAGACTTGGGGTGCTTGCCACCCCAGGCCTTTGGCTGACCTCACTTCTGCTGCCCTTGCTCAGCTTTGCCTTGGACCTAAGCCTCCTGCGCCCCCACCCACACAAGGTCCGTTCTCTTCCATGAGAACATATCACCCATGAACCCTGCCTGCAAACTAATAAATTTGCTGATCTGTAGTTCTTTCCAGCATCGGCAAGAAAAATGAGGTTTCTCCTGTCAACAATATTGTGGTTCTATTTAAAAGAGAGAGTTCTTGCCCTGGCTGGTGTAGCTCAGTGGATTGAGCCTGTAAAGCAAAGGGTCGCCGGTTTGATTCCCAGTCAGGGCACATGCCTGGGTTGCGGGCCGGGTCCCTGGTGGGGGACACGTGGGAGGCAGCCACACATTCGTGTTTCCCTCCCACTCTTTCTCCTTCCTGTCCCCTCTCTCTAAAAATAAATAAATAAAGTATATACTTTAAAAAAAAAGAGTTCTTATTTAAATTTATTGATTCTAGAGAGAGAGGGAGAAATATGGATTTGTTTTTCCATTTGTGTATACTTTCATTAGTTGATTCCTGTATGTGCCGTAACCACGGGATTGAGCCTGCAACCTAGGCAGGTTCATGCAATGCTCTTAACAACTGAAAATACCTGGCCAGGGTGAAGGCTCCTATTTTTTTAGAGACACAGACTGAAACATTTCTGGGTGACATACCTGGAATTTGCTTTAAAATACCAGTAATGCAGTGTGCTCAAGGAAGGTCACTGAGGGGACGATGAAATAAAATTGGCCACGTGGAACCTGGGTGATGGATATATGGGAGTTAGTTACCCTCCCCCCTTCCTTCTCCTTTTCTGTATGTTTGAGAATTTTCCATAACCTAGAAATATGGTTAAAGAATAAAGTGGATAAAAATCTAAACTAGTTCATGTCACTTTGTGTGTTTAAAACCCCCGCCTGGGTTTCTGTTCAGCTTAGGCCTGTTGCCAACTCCTTGACTTCAAGTTCTTAACTTTCCCCATCATTCTACCTTCTCATTAGAGAGAGCTTCTGGCTGTTAATTCTTTCAGGTATTCGCTTGACATAATTTTTTTTAACACAACATATGTAGCTAAGCCCGGTTCTGGATGTGGGGGACAGAGAAATGAATGAGATAAACAAGTTGTCCATACTGTCCATCTTAACAGAGCATACATTCTAGAAGACAGGTATATAATGCTAAGTGCATACAAAGGGAATAAAACAATGGAGCAATGGAGAGAAGGGGCTCCCTGAGATAGGGTGGGCAGGGGGTACTTCTGCAGTGGTAATATTTGAACTGAGATCTGACTGGGGAATCAGCAAGCAAAGTGATGGAGGAAGGGCCTTGAGGACAGAGGGCACAGTTGGTGCAAAGGCCCTGAGGTAGGACTGACCACAGCACATACCAGAACTGGAAGGTCAGTGAGTCTGAAGCAAGGCAGGACAGGATAAAAGAGATACTTGGAACACAGACCGCTCCTTTCCACCTTGAGGTCTATTCACTCTCTGTTCCTGAGACAACCTTGACCCTGTCATGGTCTATTTTAATGAACACTAAGAACAAGAATACTGGTAACATTTATTGGCACTGACACTGTAGGCACTGTTGTAAAACACTTTCCATTACCGAATTTAATACTAACAACCCTTGATTGTATAGATGAGGAAACTGAGGCCTAGAAAAATTAGGTCCTTGCCCAAGGTCACAGAGCTAGAAAGTGACAGAGCCCAGATTCCAAACCAGTTACCCAGGCAACCTGGCTCCAGTAACCCCTGGGGTAACTCCCACAGCTCCCACAGCTCGCCAGACGTTGTGGGTTATCAGGATGAAGAACCACTCATGCGGGGTATTTTTATAGGCACTTCATGGTCATTCCTGTGCTGGGCAGAAAGATGCACTCTCACGGCTCGCGGAAGGATGCAAAGCATGCCTTTCCGCGTGGCATCAGGAGTTTCAGACCCTCTGGGAACCCCTCCCTCAACTCCTGCCACCACCACCCACCCCACCCCCCGCCTCCGCTGGGTCACGCTGTTGGGGTGGGAGGGGCAAAGAATCTGGAATAACCCAATGACGAAGGGTGCCAAGGAGCTATGCAAATAGCGTGCTTTTTATTGGGCATCAGCTCCGCCCCGAGCCCGCCCCACTCCGCCCTCTCTCCAGGAATTAGAAACGCCGTAGGGGTGGATGGGGCCAACGGCTCTTGAAAGTGCCTCCAGGGACCGACCTCAGGCTCCCAGCGGGATGCTCGAAAGGAAGTGGGACACAGAAGAGGGAAGGTGCCAGTCGTGGCCGCTGTCTCAATGAGGTCTACCCGCAGCTCTCCGTGTAAACTCCTGAACGTTCTTGACTCCAGTCAGCCACCGTAGGCCCTGCAAGCCTCTGTACACTTTTCTATTGCCTATAGTCCTTCCGCCCGCGGCTCTGCGCTTACTCACCAACTTGCCAGACTTTCACACCCACTCCTTCCATCCATTCTGTCTCCGCAGCCACTGCCTCCTCGGACCGTCACTGCGCGTGCGTACTGACGCCCCCACAGGCAGGACGTGGGCGGAGGGAATGGAAATGAGGCTGGGCCCAGCTGCTTGCGAGCGCTCCCCGCCCTCCCCTGTGGTCGCTGGGTATACAGCTTGCCACAACTCCGTGTCTACGGGCAGCGCGGCTGCGACCGCGGCCGCCGCGGGAGGAGCCCAGAGCCCCGCCCCCAGGGAGGGGCGGTCCGCAGGTGAGAATGCTGGAGCCCCCGCCGAGACGCCTCGGTCTCCCGGACAGGGATTAGGGGCAGAATGCTAGGATCTCCCGGAGTGGGATCGTTTGGGATGCTGATGCATAGATTCCGGAGGAACTGCATCGATGTCTGAGCCTTGGGAGGGTGCACTGGTTCCCGAATGCCACGATCCCTTGGGGTGAATCGAGGCCCGGACGCTTGAGATCCGGAGAGGTCCAGTAAGACTCTCTGGATTACAACACACGCCACGTTCTTTCTGTGTCTTCCTACAGGTCTTTCCTTTACCCTCCACGGCCCCAACTCCACGCCGGGGATGGAATTTCTCAGCAAGGAAGAAATTTAGCGGTCCAGGCGTCAATGGACTGAGACTAAGCCGAGGTAAAGCTTTCTCTTCGACACGAAATTCCGCCCACAGAGCTCTGGGGCCCCTCCCCTGGGAAAATCTCAGAAGACCCGCCCACTGAGTTCTTTGGCCCTTCCTCTGGGCCTGAGCTTCAGAGCAGGCGACTTGGGGTCCTACTTGTGTAGTTCCTGCCATTCCGGTCGTAAGTACCCCTGCCTGGGAGGTTCTGGTGGGGAGGTTCCGCCCAGTGTGGGCATAGGTTCCGCCCTCTCCACGCCCAGGATCGCTGCTGAGTTTAAGTAGTAGAGGTCTAGGTAGTACTCTGCTCGGAGGTTATAACCCTGGGTTTAAGTGGCAAAGGGAATTTATCTGCATTAGATTTGCATAGCCCCGCCTATGGTGCGTTTAGGCTCCGCCTTCCGGCAACTCCCGCCTCCAATTTAGGATCCCACACTTAAATAGACCCCTAAACAGATTAACCTCTGATTTTAGGCCCTGCAGCCATATCCTCATTAGCCTGATAATCACCAGCGACACTCTCCCCCCTCCCCCCCCTCAGGCCCTCCTTTAGGTCTCTGGGCCAGCAAGATGCTGGAACGGGATGCCGAACCCGCCACTGCAGCCACCGACCCTAGTCCTGCTGGCAAGGAACTAGTGACCAAAGGAGGTGAGAATGGCCACGGCTGTGTGTGTGTGTGGGGGGGGGCGGCATTCTCCAGGAGCTGGGCTAAGAGAATCACATTTTGAGGGTGTCTCAGGGTGAAAATGTGAGGGCCCAGGGTAGTGGCAATTTGGGATCCCCAAAATGTGAAGTTCTGGGATTCTCCCGGTTGGCTTAGGGGGGACCCTCATGATCATTTCTAGGGCTCAGGAAATTACAGGAGGGACAAGGAACATGACATGCAGGATTTGAGGGTGATCACTTGGGAAGATACAGAAGCAGACACCTAAGTAGCTTTGGAAAAGCCTTAGCTTTGGGGGTACAGGTAGGTAATGTTTTGGCATCCCTTAGGATGATAGATGCCAGGGGTCGAGAGCAGACACATGACAGTTGAGGAATCTCAGTATGACACTTGAGTGCCCAGGTACACTCGAATATCAAAGCGGGCTGGGGTGGGGGAAAACCTAGCCTAGACTTAGGGAGTTGGCTGCTGCCAAGAGCCCATCAGCCCTACTGTCCCGTAGCTCCCCACCAGGGTTCGTCCAAGAAGCCCCACCAGTCGGCTGCAGGGCCTGCTGCATCCTCGGGGGCGCCGACTCGACCCCGCAGGCGGCCCCCGCCCCAGCGCCCGCACCGCTGCCCCGACTGTGACAAGGCCTTCTCCTACCCGTCCAAGCTGGCCACGCATCGACTGGCACATGGAGGCGCCCGCCCCCACCCGTGCCCCGACTGCCCCAAGGCCTTCTCCTACCCCTCCAAGCTGGCAGCCCACCGCCTCACGCACAGCGGGGCCCGCCCGCACCCGTGTCCGCACTGCCCGAAGGCCTTTGGCCACCGCTCCAAGCTGGCAGCCCACCTCTGGACCCACGCGCCCGCCCGCCCCTACCCGTGCCCTGACTGCTCCAAGTCCTTCTGCTACCCCTCCAAACTAGCTGCCCACCGACACACACACCATGCCACGGACTCCCGCCCCTATCCCTGCCCACACTGTCCCAAGGCTTTTTCATTCCCCTCCAAACTGGCCGCCCATCGCCTATGTCACGACCCCCCCACCGCGCCGGGCAGCCAGGCCACGGCCCGGCACCACTGCTCCAGCTGCGGCCAGGCCTTTGGCCAGAGACGCCTCCTGCTCCTTCACCAACGCAGCCACCACCCGGCCGAGAGTCAGGGGGAGCGGGGGTGAGCCCTCCCCTGGGCTCACTGGCTCCCCCTGCCGCCGGCCCCAGGAAATAAAGAGGTGGCACTTCTAAACCGGGCTGCACGGACTCACCTCTTCTAGTTGGCAGGGAGGGTGGCACCGCACACTGCACTGTAACTTAAAGGGTGAAGGAACTCTTTGCTTACCCATTTTGGGGAAGGGAAGGGTCACCCACTGGGAGCTAACCGGCCCCAACGTGGACCTGGAGCTGTGGTGTGAACCACTGGCTCTGGTTTTTCCCAACTATTCATTTGGCAAAGGTAAGAAGTCTGCTCACATGGGTTGGTGAGGAGTGTGGGGAAACGGGCTGTCTTTATTAAGTTGACCGGTGCCTCCGTGTTGGCCATTTGGCTGTATCTGTAACATAGTGGAACGCGCACGTGCTCGTCTCAACTATTCCACTTGTAATTTATCCTATAAACTAAGCACGTGAGCAAGGCACGTGGGCAAGAACGTGCACTGCGGCGCGATGGCTGTGCCCAAAGGGGGGGGAGCAACCTGAGTGTTCGTCACCAGACCAGCTAGTAGAAGACAGAACTAGAGTGGAATGTGTAGCTGTAGGAAAAAGTCAGCCCTTCAGGTACCAGCATGGAGAGATTCTTAACATACATGATAAAAGTCAAGAACAAGGGGTATATTACTGAGAGTATGAAAAAAACGAAGTCCAAGTTTTGGAGCCAGCTCTGACCCACTAGGTATGGCCCAGGAGCCCTGGACAAGTTTTGTCTCATCTCTGGACCCAGAAGCTGTGTCTGTGAGACACAAGTGTTAACCTGTAACAAGGCCTGTGTCAGGGTGCAAGCGTCACCATCTCGGGCAAAGTCAGTGTCCCCCCTGGGGCCAGTTCCTCCCACTAAAATCAGAGGCTCAAGCTGACATTGGCTTGCTCTTCTTTCTAACATAAGCACCTCCTGTATGCCAGGACCTGCACAGGGTATTGAGAACATGGCAGTAAACAAGGCCAATCTGGTCCAGTGAAGGAAGTGGGCAGTAATCAAATAGTGGCGGGGAAAATGAAGATGCCAAGTCCATTTTGAATAACAAGTAGGTGACCCTTGGTCCTGACATGTGACAACCCCACCCCCGTAGATCGGGGTTGGCAATCTCTTTGTGGAGAGGGCCAGATAGTGTGTATCTTTAGGTTTTGCAGGTCACGCAGTGCCTGCCACAACCACCCAACGCTGCTGTTGTGGCGCAAAAGCAGCCACACGTTATGATACATTAATGAATTCGTGGCTGGGTTCCAATAAAACTTTATTTACAAAAAGAGCGGGTGGGCTGGATTTTGCCGGTGGGCTGCAGCTTGCCGACCCCCACTGCAGATGAGAAAGGGCAGGCTAATCTGTGAGCTGAGATGGGAAAGAACGAAGTGGGACCCTGTGGTGGGCAGAATGGTCCCCCCCAAATGTCCTCGTCCTAACCCCCAGAATCTGTGTGTTAGCTTACACATGGCAGAACGGACTTTGCAGATGTGATTAAGGATTTTGAGGTGGGAAGATTATGCTGATTACCCCAGCAGGCCCAGGGTAACCACAGGACCCCTCAGATGGGTGAGGGAAACAAGACTGGGAAGATGTGGTCGTGGAAGCGGAGACTGGAGTGATGTGAGGCCACAAGCTGAGGAATTAAGGAATTCAGCTGCTTCTAGAGGCTAAAAAAGTCAAGAAAATGATTCTCTCTCAGAGCCTCTAGAAGGAACCCTGGCCTGCTGCCACCTTGACTTTGGCCCAGACTGATTTCGGACTGCCAACCTCCAGAACTGTAAGAAAATAAATGTGTATTGTTTAAAGCCACTAAGCTTCTGGCGATTTATTACAGCAGCAATAGAAAGCTAACATAGATCCCTACCTCACACTACACACAAAAATAAGTTCCCGGAGAGTTCAAATCTAAATCTGAAGCACAAAACTAAGACGGATACATCTAAATTTACATCTATTTAGATGAGAATAGGGGGAACTATCTTAGTAACCTCAGAGGTACAAAAAGTACCTATAAGGCACTAAAAAAGCAAATTATAAAGACTGAGAAATTTGACCATAAACAGATCAAATTAGAAATATGACAGCATGTATCATATATGGTTATATAGCAGTTAGGAAGAGCTTTCTTGAGCAATGTTTGAGCTGAGACCTGAACTATGTAGAGAATGGACCAAGACATGGTTTTGTGGAGTCTCCAGGCTAAGGGGTGGAGCCAAGAACTAAAGAAATGAACAGGTTGCTGGACTGCAGGCTACTCCGTGAGGCCTGGAGGGAGGGCTGGGGCTGGGTAAGGACTCAGGCTCCTCCTCCGAACCAGACGGCTTGATTAGTACCCATGAACACACCCAGGGGTATCCAGGAAGAGTTCCTCCAAAGCAGTCATGCCACCACCAAAGTTTCAAGGGCACGGACTCATTTGATCCGGTCCAAACACACCTGTACGGGTAGCGAGACAGGCCACAGGATGGGACTGGCCTGCAACCAATGGGGAAATGCAGCCAGGGTGGATCCCAAGTCTCTTAACACCCTGAGCCCTGCTGCTCCTCATCCCACAGGCCCTGCCTGAGGGCCCTCCAGACCCCGGTCCCCCAAGGAAAGTCCAAGGTTCCCTGCCTGGTGCTGACAGCCCTGTCCCTTTGCTTTCCACCGTGATGGAAATGTTCCGTCACTGCTGTCCACTGTAGTGGCCACTGCACACTGAAAAGGCGCCAGTGTGACTGAGGAAGTGAATTTTTCCTTTCATTTCATGGTAATTTAAATAGCCTCCCTTCTCCACCACCCGCCCCCCAGTCCATTTAGCTACTGCACTGGACAGTACAGCTGCAAGGACTATGCCCACTTTCCAGCCAGATCTGCCCCCAAAGCCTCTTCACCAGAGGTGGCAATGCTCCCTCGGCTCTACCCAGACACCAGCCTCCCACTTCCGGGTTGCAAACACCACCCGTCCCCCCCCCCTGCTGGTGCCAGTCAGAGGGCCACTCTGGGAGCCCTGCAGAAAGAGACGTCCATGGCCAGGGGAGCTGACGTTTCAAGAGGCACGCCTCCTGAGCAGCCAGGCGTCCTGGCCACAGACGGACCGTCTAGACCCAGGGACAGGCTCAGAGGGTGTGGGATTCCCAACTCCCTGGCACCTGCCACCACAGGGCCAAGGGGCCAGGGAGAAGGGACTAACAGCTCCTTCCCTACCGCAGCCCTGACAGAGAGTTCCACGTTCTCTCCAGGACCCCAGGACAAGAGTCTCAGACGATCAGAGACCTGGCCCTCAGAGGTGAAGCAAAACCCAAAGATAAGGCAGAGAGCCGGGAGCGTCTTGGGTGTTCTGGGAGACTCCTGAGAGAGACAGGCAGCGGCTCCAAACCCAGTCAGCTTTATTAAACCTAGGTGTGTGTGTGCGTGCACGCGCGTGTGCACAGGCACACCCTTCAGGCCTGGGGCACCACGCCATAGAGCTGGTGAGGAAGCAGCTTCTGCTTCTCGCTGCAACTGTAGATCCATCGCGGGCGGACAAACACCAGGGAGGGGTTGTCCATCAGGGCCTGCAGGGGGCCGGGGGCACACGTGTGAGAGAGGGGGAGATGCAGGGGACTCGAGGGCAGGCTGGGTCTCCCTTTCCCTGCCCTGAGGACCCACCTCCTCGAAGCTGGGGTCCCACTCCTGTGCCGTGATCACAAACTGGACCCGGTCACTCATGTAGTCCTCGAGCTCCCTGGCGGGAGAAGAAAAGAAGCCAAGAATCAGTGTCCCCTCTGTTGACATCTGACTCCCTAGCTGTTCCCAAAGGCCGTCCTCTCCATCCCCTCCCATGTCCCTAGAGGCTACCTGTCCGTCCCCCTTCTCCCACATGCCAGCCTTCCCACGGCCACCGCACCAGCAGCGCCCACTGTCGCCAATCCTTTCAGGAGGGTGGCGGGGAGCCTCACTTTGGAGAGGAAGCCGAGGGGAAGCTATGCAGCTGCGCTGGCACTGAACTCCAGGGCCTGTGCCCTCCTGCAGGGCACGCCCCTTCCCCGTCCCACCACACCCCTCCCCCCGCACCCAGAGACTGACCCACTGAAGGCTGTGACGTAGCGGCTGAGCTTCCTCCGCTCGTCCCCGGGGAACTCCCCGTACAGGAAGAAGTGTTTGCCCTGGAAGAAGTCTGGGAGATGAGGGAAGAGCCACAGTGAGGCCCTGGATGCCAAGGCACCAGACCGGAGCCACAGAACAGTTGAAGGGAAGACAGGAGAGCGGGCGGCAGCTGGACGGGGCAATGACCACCAGCGGGGCAATGACCACCAGCGGGGCAATGGCCACCGGCAGCGGTTCCCAGCCAGGCCCAGCAGAGCCTTCTGGGAAGGCTGGGTTTTGGGCTTTTGTCTTCTTTAATGATGAAAGATACAATTCCAATGATTCTAATGTGTTTCTCACATGACGTAAGTCACAGACGGGCTGCTGCCACTTAACGACCTTGGCCAGGTGGAAAACCAACCCACCCACCAGGCCTGGTTTGTCTCGCTCCCTTTCGAGCGGCTCTGGTCTTTAGGGCGGCGCCGTCTCCAGTCCATTTCAGCCTGCCTTTCCGAGCCATCGATTCACTGACGCCATTTGGGGGGTGTACTGAGGATCAAAGTGCTTTCCTGCCCATGTCCACGAGGATCAGGCGGAGACACCGGTGCCGCCGCATCTCACCCCCCACTGAGCCCTCAGCAGCAGAGGCTCGGACTCTCACCCCATCCCAACCCCGCACTCACAGCTGAGGTGACACCACCACTACTCAGGTCCCTCCCAACAGAAATCACCAGTGTGCTCCCCCCGACACACACACACAATAAATGAACAAAGAGGGGCGAGTGGGGAGGAGGGTGGGGAGGGGGAACTTGGGCTCCGCCGATTTGAAAAGGGCCCTCGCGGTGCTCCTGAAGCCTGGGGAGGGCTGAGCCCTGGGGGGGGGGGGGGGGTCACACCTGCAGTGGAGCCAAAGGTGCCGCTGGGTTGTGAGGAGGTGTTCACAGCCCAGTCAGGAGGGGGACAGAGGGAAAGGGGAAGAACAGGAACAGGCCTGAGAAAGCAAAGAGGTGGCAAATGCGGGCAAGTCACAGGGTGGGAAGCAGCAATCCCAGGCCGGCTGGGCCAAGTCAAGGCTGGGAGCTGAGGGGGACGGATCCACCTTCAGGAGCGAGGGAGGGCTTTCCCACCTGGGAGTTCCGGGACCGGCAGGTTGGGAGACTCCGGGGGACCCTCGTTGTCTGTGTTCTCATCTGTGGACCCCGCGTACGGGTCCTCGCCGTTCTCCCCCTGGCGCGGGGGCTGCCTCTGTTCCTTCTGCTCAGCCACCCTGGGGAAGTGGAGGGGTGAAGGGAGAGCGTGCAGACCAGGTTCCCCCCACGGAAGCTGGGCCCACCCCGCGCCCCCGGCCCCAACGCTACCTTCTCAGCTCATCCTCAGTGTCCCCGGAATCGTCTGCTCCATTGTCCTGTCCTTCTGTGAGTGGAAGCTCAGTCCACACGGGTGTCTCTGCCCTGTCTTCTGGGAAGACTAGGGACCCTCCTCCCAGTCCTCACGCAGGGGTCCCAAACCCCAGCCTCGATTTCCCTCCAGGTCCCGTTACTGAGGGGCCCCAGCCCCTCCTCCCTCAGGCTCTGACCTGAGCACTCCCCCACAATGTGGATATCTTCCTGGGATCCCGGAGAGGCTGGTTTGCCCCCTCCTGGGGTTGGGGGTCTCTCAGGTGAGCTGGACCCTGCTGCCTGAGGGGGCTTGGTTTTGGTCTGGGGGCGCTGAGGAGGGAGGGTGGGTCAGTGAGCAGGAAAGGGACGGGGTGGGAGGGAGGGTGCGTGGGGAGGTGTGCCCACGGGAGGCGGGAGCAGCGACTGGGGCCCACATCAGACCCACGCCCTCCTCCCACTACACCCTCCCACACCCCAGCGGGGGACAGCAGACCTTTTGGGGAAGCTTGGGGGCTTCATCCCTGCCGCCGCCGCTGTGAGGGTCCCCCTCGTCCTCACTGCTGGAGTCTGGCCCTGCCATGAGGTACCTGGGGGAGGAACTGGGCCTCAGACAAACAGCGCGTTTTGTCCTCCAGGGCCTGTAGGGAGGGTGCTCCGCGCGCAGCAGCCACTCGAGCTTGCTACATACCCAGGGTGACAACCACTGTCGCTCTCCCAGCCTGCCCTGCTTCCCAGCTCTGGAAGACCCCGCGGACCCCCAGTCCCTCCAGCCACCCACATGGGAGACCTGGGCCCTCCCTGGATGCCCCTCTCTCTTGGGGAAGAAACGCCCCATGGCCAAAAGCACTAAAAAAACAGAACCCATTTTCCTCTTTGAGAACTAAAGTCAGTTTCTCACTGGGAGAATGCCTACCACTGAAAGGAAAATTCCCAAAAGCAAACACATTTTTTAAGACCTTGGCTCTATATTCAAGGTTCCTTACGTGGCTGACACACTCCAGGAAAAGAATCCTCCTGTTCTAATGATGATGACGGCCGCCACGGACCTGGGATTTCCTGTGTGCCGGGCCCTACTCCCAACAGCTGACAAAGACAGGCTCACTGAACCCGGAGGCGGGCGGTCTCTCGGCCCCATCCTCCGGATGGGGAAACAGCGCTAACGCGCCCCATCCCGGGACGACGTGGGCGGCGGAAGCGCATCAATGTGCTGGCTTTACCTTCCTGACGCACAGGAAGACCCTTCCGCACACAGCTGGGGTTTTCCAAAGCGGGCGGGACACAACACTCTGGGAAGCAGTGTCTCGTGGGAAACAGGGGACCTGAAGTGCCACAGTTCACTAAACCATCAATGGTGGATTTACTGTTTTTTCTTTTA